GGAAGAAAGAAAAGTTAAGATTTAAAATATAATTAGAAGACGTTTGAAATTAGAATATTCTGAGAATATAATCGTTGATTATGAAATAAATTAAGTTATGGAACACTTTCTCATACAGGGCATACCTGTCAAATATATGGGCCTCATAAAAAAGGCACTGCGTGGGTCAAAAGCCTCAAAAGCATCAAAAGTTAAAAGAGGCGGAGAATTGACAAAACCAATTTAAAATTAATGTAGGAATGAGACAGAGGGACGCAATATCAATCATGTTGTTTAATCTAGTTCTCGAAGCGATTAAAATGTGTTATTTATACAGATACTTCCAGTTTGAATTTAACTCTGAACCTTCGAACTCAGATTGCTCTGATTGCTCTTCTTCTTTTAATAAAAAACCTGTGACGAACAATTTACTCCTTTTAATTCTGTTCACTAAACTTACCATCAATATACTTTGAAACTGAAAAAACTACAGTAGGGAAATTTAGGCTTTATGTATTTATTTAAATATACTAAACAAACAATATTTAGTAAATTAATAACTATTACCATCATTTATTATTTATTTATGATACAACTTAAACATGTTTGTCCGAGTTTCATTTTTATACTTTATAACATTTTGTGCAGTCTATAAAGGGGCTAGAATAAGCCATATTTGAATAAGCGTGTGGCATCAAAACGGTTGTAGTAAAAAGAAAAACACAATAATATTTATTACTGTACAGTTAAGTACCTGGAAATTCCTCATAATATGGTAATTGATCTTTGGCAGCTCTTTGTTTATGCTTACTAATGGCCCCCGGGCACTAGGCAGTTTGGCTGGAAGCCGTTGGAACTCGCCCTTCAATTCTTGCGCGAAGCTTCAACAGCTCTCTCAAACTTTTTGGGGTAAATTGTTTACTTTTTAAATGTTTTTGACTTTCACTTCAGGCCACTCTTGAAATCGTTTTTTTTTTATCCATCCACCATTTTCTTCTGGTTGAAGTAATCAACAGGTAGTTCTTCTGCTGTAGATATTAGATATTAAAAGATCTAAACTTTTTGCCGTATCAACTACCATCAACTTCAGATTATGACTTCCCTTAGCGTTGCTGCAGGACATAATTATAAACTGTTCTTTGGGGAATTTATTTCCCGCTGGTTTACCCTGACTTACAAAAGCTGCGTTTTAAAGGGTACCCTCGTTAAGATAAGACAAAATACCCTCCCTTCCAGACTGAATTTAGTGTACATAACGTAAAAAGCTCAATTTTTTTATTTTTATAGACCGAGGTTGAGTGTACATGCAAGGCACAATCTAAAAATGCATTTTTTTCTTTTTCGGAGGAGGCTGCATGTACAATTTTTTATTTTGTGTATTTTTTTCATCCTTAAAAAACCGAAAAACTGTTTTTAGGCGATTTGATATATTTTGAGGTCTAAGTATAAAATGGAGAAAATCCCCCAAAACCCCTATAAAACTGTTTTTCGGGTTTTTGGAGATGTGTCCCTTAAGAAAAAATCTGATAAAATTCCTTTATACTGCAAACTAAAGCTGAGTCACAATACAAGTATGTTAACAACCCCCTCCATTACTTCCCGGCAGTCATAGTTTTTGTTTCAACACACAGGAGTCAAATTTCTGATAAGTCTTGCTTTACTACTTCCAACCATTTCTTCTTTGGACGTCCTCTTCTTTTTGTTTTTTCATTTGTTTCTTCTTTAGTATTGTTTTAAAAAATCGATTCTCTGGCATTCATATAATGTGACCAAGCCATTTAGTTCTTTTGGCTCTATTTTTGCCGTAATTGTTGGTTTTCCATACATCCTCATTATTTCTTTATTTGTTCGTCATCTCCAAATATTCTCTGCCGTCTTTGTTCCTCCGAAGATTTTTCTGAGCAACTTTCTTTCCCAGATCTCTAATATATTTTCTTCCTGCTGGTTCATAATCCACGTTTCACTGGCATACATCACTATGGGTCTGATTACTGTCTTGTAGACTCGCAGTTTAGCTGTTCTTGATACAATTTTTTCTTTCAGTAATGAATTTGGTGTCCCTATCGCTCTGCTTCCTTTCATTGATCTTGTGTCTATCTCTTGTTCTTCTTTTCATGTGTTCTTTATGGTTACTGTTATGGTTACAAGTATTCAAATTCTGACACTTTTTCAAAACTGTAGACTTAGTTTATTATTTGTTATGTCTCCTCTCATTTCCACATATTGCATTTTTGTTTGCTTTATTATTAATCCGTACCTTTTCGCTTATTCTTCCAATTTCTGGAAAACCTTCTAAATGCTTTTTTTGTTCCTGTTAGTATCACCACATCATCCGCGTACGCTATGCACTGTTCCCTGCTATTGAAAATAGTACTGTTTGTGTTCATATTTAATCTTCTTACGATTTGTTCTAATACTAGGTTGAATAAATTCGTTGATAGCGGATCCCCTTGCTTTAAACCTCTATTTACTGTGGACTGTCTTGAAAAGCTTCCTTCCATTGTTACCCTATATATCGTGTTCCTAAGCGTCATTCTCACTAGCCTTTTGTCACGCTTTTCTCACGCGTTTTGTCTTCTTTTTTATAGATAGGACAAATAGGAGCGGTATTCCATTGTTTCGGCATTTCTTGCTTTTACCAAATTGTTAGCGTCAAGTGAAATATCCTTTCTGGATTGTTGGTTGGAACCTCGCACGTCACTTCTTCATCTTCTTGCCAATTCTCATTTCACTCAAGTTCCTCTTGTTGGTCTGTATTTAATAGATTTTCGAAATATTCCCCTCATCTGTTTAATTTTTCTGTTGTTTCACCTAGAAGTAAGCCTTATTTGTTTCTACAATGTGGATTATTCTTTGTAGTTTCTCTGGATTCCTTAACTTTTTTTTAGAAATTCCTTACCTCATTGTTTATGTAGGCTTCTTTTATGTTTCTAATTTGCTTTTCTAGCTGTTCTCTTATCTTTTCCCTGCTAATTATTTTCACTTCCCTTCTTCTTTCCATATAGTTTTCGATTGTATTTTGGGTATTTTTTTGATCTCTCTGTAGCTTTGCCCTGTTTTTTCTTGCAATCATCAAAGCAATCCTACATTCTTCATCGAAAGAGTCTTCTCCCGAAAAGCCGTCTTTTTATGGCTGCTATGACTGCTTCCAACATGGCTGTTTATGATCTCCCACTCTTCTTCTATATCTTGTTTGAATGGATTCCCTACTTTTTAATTTATTTTTTCCTCTAGTGTGTTTCTAACCTACTTCTCTTGAAGACGCTCTAATTGGTAATTTAATATATCTAACAGGTTTTGGAATTATTGGTAGTTCTTGTTTTAGTTTTGCTATTATTAGTGTATGGTCACTGTTGGTATCTGCCCCTATGTAACTCTTGCAATTGATTATTGCCTTACCATGTTTGCTTTCAATTAGGACGTGCTCTCTATTTGATTCATCTATAATGATAATCTATAACAAACATAATACAATCAAAAGTAGCCGTAATCACGTATCAATATGGATTCTCGCAAATAATGAATTCGATCATTAGCGGCGCTGAAGAAAATATGTGTCTTGTTGGTCACTTTAGTTTTCATTCACATTAAAAATGGCTTTTACAGACTTGCGAATGATCCGCGGATCGGGAGTTGACTGTACAAATAAAATTAAAAATTTGTTATCGAGACCATTTAAAAAAAGCAATGTCGATGTATTTGTATTTAATCCGAAACTCTGACGACCATTTTCTAGTTGAACTCACCATTCTTACCATACCTATTTGAAGCTATGAGGGTAATATTGACCTTAAAAACTGAATTTATCATAGGATTTTGGTCAATTTTACTGTCAAACTTGCTAAATAGTATAAATATTGAACAACTTTTTAGTGTGGATTTCTATTAGTAAAATCTAGTAAAAATTAGTAAAAATTAGTAAAAAGATTCTTAGCGAAAATTGTGTCGAGTTTTGAAACAAAAAGCTGATTAAAAATATAGGATCAAACTTTTGTATTTTAAGAACATACGAGACAATTAAAGAGCTTTCTGATGAATGGAGAAAAAATGTTTACTTAAGAAAATGTTTCTAAAATAAAAGATATCAATCCATTTGTCAGTAGTTAATTATAAAAATCCTAAAACATTACCCGCAATTGAATTGCCCTTGATTTCTTTAGTTTTTCTGTCTACTGGTGGCAACAATGGCAACTTCAAACTGTTTCCGGTATAGTAAATTCTAGAGTATTTAATTACTCCTATTTTATGACCGTACTAATCTTGGAGAGGTCTATTTTAAGTCTTTTGATTGTGCCAGTTAGTTAAAAGCCTTTTTGTTGTTGCGTGTCGCACTGACGTAAATCACCGTTCCTATCAGGTGGAAATATTATAATTTCTTTCAGTCATGAATTCATTTTATCAAATCGTTCTCCTTAGCTGTCGTCATCAAGGTTGACATATTTATTGATAATCACATGTTGTAGGAAATTTTTCACGCACTTAATAATATTTCCCTCATATTATACAGCATGAATTATCTATTGTATGCTTATAGTAAGAATTTTGTGGATGATAGCTAGAAAATCGCTTCAAAATGAAAACATAAAAGTACCTCCATGACCTCCAGATATTTACAAACAAAATTTAAATTCAATTTTCGTTAAATACATCTTCCAAAATAACCTTGAATAGCTTCAGTCTCTACACTAATATAACAACTAGAGCAACTGATGTTACCTGACTTCTTCTCAATATCCTTATTCTTTACATCGTTCTTTTTCACACCCCTCAACATTTTTGAGTCAGTCTACCATACAAATCTGCTTTAAAAATAGATACCTACTGTAATACCTTAAAAATACTACAAAAAACACTATTTTGAATGTAGTATTTTTGATGTTTTTACCGATTATATTAAAAAGTTGTTCAATATCAGTATCAGAACACAAAGTTCTTCGAGATCGGGGTAAGTTCGTCTAAATCGGCCCCTTTCATTCCCATTTCATATCCATTTTAGTAAATGTTAGTGGCTTGTTTTGCAGCATGGCCGCTCTGATTCGTATCGAGTTGCTACAATTCCATCTTCCTTTGACGACAACAAAACTGCAGATGGCAGACCTAAGGTACGTATAAACATTTGCATTTTACTCGATAATAGTCGATTTTACTTCTACCAGATGAAAGTAAGGAAATAGTATTAGCACAGTGTCTCTAACTAACAGCAATGTTTCTCTGGAACCTCGACAAAGTTGCTACGAAGCAAAAGATTTTCCAATAATAAACGCCCTGTACAAAGGATTCCTTTCATTTATAATCTGGAATCGAATCATCAAATATTTTAAGTATTTAAAGCATGTTTGTTTATTAGGCCAGTAAAGAAAAAATGATTTTTATGATTGTTAAATAAAAACAAAGAAAAATCAGCTGTATTTCTTCAAATATTTTTCATCATCAGCTACTCCTTATATCCCTTTTAGAACCTTCAACAACTAAGATTTTTACGTGAAATCATTGATTTTTTCACATATAGATTAGGGTATGTAGCGAGAATTGTCCTTGTCGTACGCACATTATTTCTGTACCAATGGACGTTGTAGTACACCTCTTCGCAATATACCAACATAAAATACTTATAAACGGTAAAATTTAGTAAGTCGTTTTAAGTTTAGTGGGGACGCTGTGAGAAACATTGCTATGCGTTGATTACTGATACTGTGGTACTAGTAGAAAATATGCTATTAGCTATGTAAGTGACTTTACAAGCTAGATTTTGATAGTTATAATTCATTTTTATTAAATCATTATCACGTTTAGTGTCTCCCATTTTCGATGCATCATATTTCTGCACGTGTGTTGTCATGTATAAACCTACATTTTAATAATAAACCCTTGAGGTCTGCATCTTCAGGCCATAAGTGCATGTAATAAAACAGCTAAAACTAAAAAGATAAAAAGATATCGTGAGGAAAGACTGTATTATTATTTTTATCTTTATATCATATTTTAATATTTATATGGTATTAATTAGACACACAGTAATGTTGAAAGGAAGTTTTTATTATCTGCATATGATTCTGCAAATTAACTTAAATTTGATTTAGGATAATTAATTTTTAGGTTTACAAAGTAGACAAACGATTTTATTTACTTTTCTATAATTTACATTTACTTTTCAATTCGATTCAATCTTTCTGTATTTGCCTTCTTCAGCATGTATAAAGGCTGAATGTAATAAAAATCGGTTACAAACTTCTGTGTAATCTCAATATTGATATATTTATAGTTTTTCTAGAATCATATCTGCGAAGAATCTATTTGTTGTTATGTTGTGCTAGTGTTGTACTAGTTTTATATTGTCGATAGTTACTTAGTTCACTGACGTGCTGTTTGGGTGATTTATTTTGTCTCCATGTAAATGTAACCATGTGCCACCATCACTTTTATTATTGAGACACGCAGGGCGGTTTTAAATTGCAACGGTTACTCTTCTAATTCTACTTACCTGACGTTACTTCGTTACTTAGTTCCCTAAAGTGCTGTTTATGTGATTTATTTTGTCTCCATGTTAAGCTAATCATGTGCTATCATCACTTTTATTATTGAGACACGCTGGATGGTTTTCAATTTCAACGGCCAATCATATGTAATTTGTTGAATCTCTGGTTTTTTTCACAGTTTGCAATTCTTGTTTGCATTGCAGTAGTTCCAGTGCATTACACGAAAATTATTTACCATTAAAATATTAGGAATAACTAATTTTCTAATATATTCTAATCTGGTGAGGCGCTCAGATATTTTGATTAATGTCTCCACTATTTATGGTAATGAGTTCACTCATTGCTTTTTTTTCTTGCGTTCATGCGCTCCTCATGAATTATATTTTGCATTCAGATCCCCAGCAACGATTAGTTTTTTCCCTGCTATGCTTCCTGCTATTTTCTCTACTAGACTCTTATATTCTGTTAGTGTGATATTAGGGAAATATATGTCGGCACTATTGTGTTCCGGGATCCAAGATAAGGAATCCCTTTTTCCCCTGGCAAGTTTTCATCACAGATCCTTAGTGCTGTGACCTTCCTCCCAGCAGCTAGTAGAAAGTATAACTCTTAAAGTCCTTTCTTTTCAGTTGTCTGGGTGTTATTATTTTACAGTTCACCAGTCCTATCAGTACCTTTCTCTGCTTCACCAGTGTGTCAGCCGCTATTCTAGTAGTTTTGATTACTACCATGTCTTCATTTCAATTGAACCTTCTCCCTCTCTTGATCCCACAGAGTTCGCCAGCGTTCTTATGATTTTGACCCTTTTGGTCAACGTCGTGTATTAGTACCAGCCTTTCCCGAACTTTCGACTTGACATCCAGACCCATTTTTGACGCAATCTGCGTTAACAGTTCCGTGATTTTGTCCCTGGGTCCTATCAGCTCCAGACTTCTTATGCTGTCCTTCTCACCTTTTGGATCTCGACCCCACTGTTTCTACATCCACTTTCGGCCTGACCTCTTTTACCATATCCGCGTACAACTTCTCACCCCTTTGATGGTAATATTCCCTCTTTCTGTCCTGAAATTTGAATCTATCAGTGAAATTGTAATTGTAAAATCAGTACTCTGAAAGCTTTATTCCAGCGCCTTTCTTAGTTCCACCCACACCGTGGTTTCTCCTACTATTTTAGTCATAAATCAATGCTCCCTTCATTTTAGTCATAAATCACTTTAGAGCATAAATTTGTTTTATTTCTGCCTAATTCTTTAACGAGTTGTTCCAGTCCTGTGTGACTTTGTGCCCATTCTAGAATGTGGTTGTCTACTAGTTCACTTTTCTTCTTCACTTCTCTCTGCTACTTTTGTTCTTTTAAATCCATCCTCCGGCCATTCTTCGTCCACGTACTTCTTAAATTCTCCTTCATTCATTCTTCTCTGTAACCAAACGGCAATGTTCGCCATCCATTCTCTTTTCCCTCCTTTCCATATCCTTGTCTATATCTTCTATTTCAGCTGTACACTTATATCACTTTTCTCAACTTTTTCTGTTATGGGAATCTTCTCCTTTTTTTTTCTAGTTTTCCATTTTTTTTTTCTGATGTGCCTTTGATAATATTGTAGGGCCTTTATCGCAGTCTTGATTTCAACTATGATTTTCACGTGCTCCTTTGTCATGTAGTTGAGTACTTTCGATTTCTTTAGGACCTCTTCCACCGCCTTTCTTTTCGCCATCTCTCCTCTCTTCTGCGGCTTTAGCCTCCCCTGATTTATCAATATTCTTTCTATTTTCCTCCTCGGTCCCTGGCTTTTTGCCGATTTTCATATTCTCTCCCTCGCTATCAGTCCTCGTGTGACCTGCGTTGGAGTCTTTCCTTCCCAAGATCCCGGATTCCCCTAGTTCTTCAATCTGTTTCCACTCTGTGTTCTCGTGCATATCGTCATCATTTTCTATTTGTTTTGTTTTATTAAAAACTTGTCGGTTGTCTCGCATCCATATCTGTTCTCACATGTCGGAAAGAACAAAGGTCCAGCTGGACGGTGTTCCTTTATCCAGTTGAGGCATTTATCACCCCGGAAAGTTTCCTCAATGCTAGAGCTGTTTTTATGGTCAGTACTGAAACCATCTTATTTATAAATAACGGCTGGGATTTAGGTTTATTTTGGCAGTTTTTTTCTTTTTTATGATTGTTTCTACTATTTCGTCCATTGTAGCTGTTTACATTAAATTGATTTGTGGGATAAAAGTGAAAACCATTTAAAATGAAATTTGTTCATAAATTTGTGAAGTACTAACTGACTATGATAAATATGCGAATTTTACGAAAACCCTTTTGAGTTTTCGCTGATTAAGTGCTAGACTCCACTTTCATAATTAACATTTCTGGTTGAGCTGTTAGATCGATTTTGTAGCAGTCACGAATGGCGTGTCCACTATGCTTCATAGTGTCTGACTTATAGTTTATTACTATTTTTAGACTAAATTATGTCTGGCATGGAATCGATAAATGCACGAATAAATTAGTTCGAAAAAATCATGGTGCGACTGCAACGATTGATTTTTTGTCTGGTAATCAATTTTAATGGATCTCAGGGTAGGAAATAGGTGAAAAATATTATAATTTGTTTTCAAAAGTAGCTAATAAATGACATCACAATGGCAATTATTAGGATGCGGAAACTTTTTAAAAATTATTGAATTATTCCATTATATTCTTATTTTTTTTATAATTCGCCACATCCCACAAAAAAATCTATGTTTGATGTGTTAATTTTTACAGAATGATAGCTTTTATGACCTTCAATTGGGTTTATCAAGTTAAACGTATAGAGTGCAGATAATATCGAACAACTAAATCGTTTATTTCAAAAACCCGTCAACTGACATTTTTATCAAAAATGAGTTTAATACGGATTCTGACTCTTCAAGTATAAATACATATTTTAGTGCAGAAACCCGTCAAAAAGGTTGACTCTAAGTGGTTTATATGTCAAAAACAATATTGAGTTTAGTGCAGAAACGTGTCAAGCGACCTCACTTAACGGGTTTCTGCAGTTAATTTCAGTTTCCTACTTTGACAGCACTGGTTTGTAGAAAGCTATTTTCACAGCTAGCAGGATTGGGTTTATTTTTATTTAGACAAACAGCAACAGTCAATTGTTTTACAATACATTTCGTTTTTTAGTTTAAGGTAAGAGTTGGTGTTTTGCATTCTTACGTTATATTTTGTGTTACATAAAAATAGTTTCTTTACACAAACATGTAAAAAGAAAACGTGGTATTACTAATGAAGTGAAATATAAACATAATATAATACGAAAATCAAGAGTAAGAGATGAGGAATACACAAAAACTATAAAGGTTATGTTGTTCCATGTAAATCTGTTCCCGATAATCAAATATTCAAATGTTCACGGAAATGTTATTTATTAACTTGGGCCTAGATAAAACCTAACTAATAAAAAATAAGTTTTTGTATATAACATAAAAATAAATGGTGTTATTACGACAATTTGCAAAAATGTTTTTATACAAATTCTCGATGTATGTCGTGATCGAGTTGCAAGGTTAACCAACCAATTAGCCAAAAACACAACACGCGTTGATATGAGAGGCAGAAACCGTAGTGGTAATGCAATTGATGGTAATACTTGTCTCGCTATACATGAACACATCTCTCGATTTGAAGTCAGAAAAACTCGTTATGTGTCAAAGAAAAAACAATATTTAGATGCATCATTAAATATTTCAAAAATATACGAAATGTTTCAAACTGCGTACTCTGAATTAAAAGAAAAAGTAAAGTATAGTTTTGTTTACAAATATTTTAAGGAAAATTTTAACTTATACTTTGGATAACCACAAGTAGACGTATGTAGCCAGTGGGGAAATTTTAAAGTAAAACTTAGAGATCCAGATCTATGTGACAATGCAAAGCGGAGTGTATCCGCTAAACAAATCTTACACCAACGCAGAGCCGAAATGAAATGGCCCAAAATAAGGACAATGATACGATAGTTCTGTGTATTGATTATATGCAGAACTTACCATTACCACACATACCTGTTCAAGAAGTTTTTTACATGCGCCAGATTTGAGTAAATATATTTTGTATTCATGATATGAATACATCTGAATGATAATGCTCTTGCATTATCTACAAACAGAAGTTTTTCCCAATGAAATGAAACATCTTGTACTCTTTAGTGACGGCCCATCTGGCCAAAATAAAAATTTTTCTGGCCAGATATAATATAATATCTTCATTTGCCTAAAATATGAAAAACTGCACTGGACGGGTTTCTGAAATAAAAGATTCAATTATTTCTGTTAGTACATTCTGGTAATGAAAACATGATAATTGGATCTATCTACATTCCTCCAACGTTCTCCCTGTAGTCTATACGATATTGAGCAATAGCGTTGATATTCTATCCTACCAATATCCCAGAACGGTTTTTCACTTATTTGGCGACTTTATCTTGCGTAATGTACATTGGATAGATGACAATCTAGGATCAACAGCTATGGCAAACATTTAAAATTCAAATTTAGTTCATTTTAAGTTTTTCCAAGTTACTTACTTTAATTTTTCGTGTTTGAAATTTCTCATGACATACTACAGTTATTCGAGGGTGTATCTAGCATCTAGAGACATATTACGCACTTCTGTAGGTGTTCCATGTTATGTTCCAAACTTCACCTGCTTCGCATATTGAGTCCTGTGCATCCATCCTACCCCACCTGATACCTGTTCTTATTCTGTTACGTGAATTCCATATTTTTCATTCGAGGCGTGTGCCGTTTTCTTTTCTGAGGGTGGGAATTTCTTAAATCCGTACCAGGTTAACTCATCCCTAGAGACGGCTAGCGTGTATTGGATTCAGGTTAGAGGAGTATATTTAAGCCTATTTGCCCCTAGAAGGAGATCCTGCAGACTGATGTTTTCCTGTTGTTCTACCTACCAACTGAAATCACCGTTTCCTACTTGTGCGCAGTTGCCTGTCGCACGTAGCATACTCCGAAAGTGGGATAGCCGCTGTAAGGCTGGCGACACTTTCAGAGTACTTCTTTTTCTTATCTAGATCTTATGTCTGTCGTTGGTCTTTCTCTTCTTCTTTTTTAATGACTGTTTGGATGTAATTGTGTAAACTATTCCATCTCTCTTTATTTCCGTCATATTCACGATAATCTCTCTCACGGTTACGGGGTTCAGACCTATTTCTCTATACATTTTGTTTTTCTCCACTGTCGATTTATTATACTCCAGCATTGTGTGAGTAACATTGTCAAGGTATTTGCAATATAGGCATTTATCTGTATCTGTATTTCTGAATTTATTAAGATATGTCCTAAAACAATCATGTCCTGTGAGCACTTGCGTCAGGAAGTAATCCAGTCGTCTGTGACCACAGTCCACCTAGTCCCTTAGGCTCGGGATCAGCATCTTGGTCCACTGAGCAACATCTTTCGTGTTGTTCCATTCTTCTTGCCATCTTTCCATTGATCTTCCGTTTCCTTTGTGGCTCTTATCAAATGCTCTCTTCTCTCATAGAGATGTCTCCTTTCTACTGCTAATATATGCAGAGGAACATAACCCGTGGTAATCCACAAGGCCGCCGTAGATATAGTCCTGTAGGCGCATGCTACTCGCAACAGACTCAAACATACATGTGGGAGATGTACCGATAAAAAGGGTTGCAAAATACAAATACCTCTTAAAGACATCTCAGTCCAGGACGCCGCCTGATTAACCTTAGTGCAGGATTCGTTCTTCGTACTCCCGGAGATAGTTCCCGAGGTACTTTAAAATGCCCTCTCGTCGCCGAGTCTACGTCGAACGCCTACCTGCTAAACCAGACCCTCTTCACTCATCCAGCGATCCGGAAGCGGAATGGCCGCTGTAAGGCCGGCATCACTTCCGAAGTACTACCTGTATTCATTCATTCTCCATTCATACACATCCACACTGTGTTCATCAGCAAGGAGGCTTCCTGTCCCGTTAGAGGTAGCGCGTAGAAGATACTCATCGCTCCTAGTTCGGCATCATTCCCAGACGGGTATTTCCTCCTTTCCCAAAGTCTGACTTACGCATTCTAACTCACTAACATACAGTGTGACCCACTTTTCTAGCTTCACCGTTCAGCATCATTCACTCTTACCTTTGTTGTTGGTCCAGCTGTCTTTCTTCCTCTTTCTTTTTCTTGATCACTCCACGGCTATAGCTGTGTAAGACCCTCCTCCTTTCGGATTTGGGTCCTCCAATGTTCGGCATCACCCTCCCCAACGCAGCTAAAATTCAAATACCGGCAGCCTGGATTTCAGTAAATAATAAACTACATAAATAAGGTACAGTATAGAAATAGCAAGAAATGCCTTTGTAGAAATTAAAACAATTATCTGCAATTAAGACCTTAAATTAGAACTGAGAGCAAGAGCTCTGAAATGTTTGAAATGCGTTACAGAATACAGAGAAAGGTAGGAAGATGAGGAAGGAGTATGGGAAGAAGAGGGTTATGGTTGAACAATTTAACAGACAAATTTAGATACAGTTTAATACAGCTCTTCAGAGCAGCGGTAAATAGAGTAAAGATAATGATGATGATGACGTTCCAGCTGGATTAAATTACCGATTGTGGTTTAATCTCGTGTATAATACTATTTAATATAAATATAGATAATTCAAAATAGATAAAATAAAGAATGATTTTATTAATGAGTAATAAAATTGACATCCCGACAGTACGCTTTGATAAATTTGTCAAATTTGTCTGATTGTGTAATTATTAGCAATCAAATTTGCTTTTCATTGCTATCATTTTTTATTTAACCGCACTCTAAATCGTTTTGTCCAGGACTTTTCCATGTAGTGTTGTTTTTAGTGCATGTTATTTGAAAATTTATACAGTAATGACGTCAATTAAATAAAGCCTAACGTTCACAATTCCTGTTTTTTAATGCATGAAATATTTTTAATACCTCTTAAAATTATCGTAAAGAAATGTGGGTTTATTTGATAATAGCATATCATTCGTAGGAAGTTGACTTAGTTGATAGAAACAATTCGAAAAAATCAGGCGCTGACCTTGAGGATCCGTTTTTAAAAATTTGGTTTATACTATATGGTCAAAAATGGTTGTATTATTAACATCTCAAAATGCGGTGTTTTAATACGTGTTTTCTTTTATTTTTAGTCTCGAAGAAAGGTAAAGAAAGTAAGGAAAGCGGAAGATTTAGACGACTTAAAACAGGAATTAGACATCGACTATCATAAGATCTCACCAGAAGAACTATATCAAAGGTTTCAAACACATCCAGAAAACGTAAGTATATAGATATAATATTTAATTCAAACATACTGCTGAACAAATTCATAAAAAATAACTAAACAAATAACATGTAATATTTGAAACTATAAAGACAAATTTGAAATAAGTTGTTTGCCATTTCTCTAAAGTTCCAAAGTTTAGGACTTCATGTACTGCTCCATATCCTCCCTTTAATTGGCCCACATGTGCAATTAAATCACCTCCGTATAATGAGCTGTCTCCTTTGATGGAATAAAAAGCTTTTGTTTCATTATCATCCAACCATTCATGCTCATAAACGCATACACCATTCATTAAGTACAACAATTACTGACATTGTTTGGGAAAGTATGTGCGAATTCATTTCATATTTTTATAGTTAATATTTTTTCTGTTACGGTACTGTAATATGACCTACTGTAATTTGGGTGCTGTATTTCAAAGATCTTTTTAAAATATATCATTTCCTGTGAGTTCGTAAAACTTAAACTGGCTCTCATTTATCATGTTAAAGTACGCAGAATTGGGTTTTTTTCTTTGTATTCTATGTCAGAAAGATTGAAACAAATGGTTGATTTATGGCATGCCTGGCCTACGAGCTGTTGACCACCCCACAGTTAGAGGCTGGTTTGTGCCCTAGAAACAATCTAAAAATCACTTCTTCGTCAGACAACGATCGATCGACACGCATCTAGTTCCGGACGGTTCTCGTGCTGAGCCTCGGGCGACGGCGACGCTAGCGTCGGTACCACCGACCAACTCTTAAGGCCTGGTACGAACTCATCAGTAGAACCAAAGGGTAAGCCTTATAATTCTTTGTACAAAACATTGATAATGAGTAAACCAGTTAATTATGTAATTTATTTACAATTTATAGTTGCTATTTTCACCAATTTTATGTACCAACCAATATTGCATTTTTCGTTATAATTATTTATCTGATATAATTTAACCAGCGACCTCTCAAGTTTAATCCTAAACAGACATTATTCTATCACTCTTTCTTACAACTTCTACTAGGTTTTCTTTTATAAATTATTCCAACTCCATTTCTAGTATCATTTTTCCCTACATAAAAGAATTTGTATTCTTCACCTAGGTTTTTCGCCCTTTCTCCTTTGCACCTAGCAAATTGTACTATCCTTCATTTAAACATATTTACCAAGTCCATACTCTCACCTGTAAGACTTCCAAGATTCCATCCTCCTATTCTAAATTTTCTAAACTTTACCACCCAACATCCTAACAGAGGCTCAATTTGTTTTCCTGCACTGAGTGCGCTAAAATATCTATATTAGCGTATTCTTTAGGAGTGTATTGTGACTGCCAATTGGCTATTGAAAGGCTATTGGCCTCGACATGGATAAAAGGGGTGGTCTGTGAATGCATATCGACAAAAAAGCTTTCACGGCCATCGTCTAACTTGTTAGGCTGTTTATTCGAGCTGTTAGGCCTTTGTCTTTTGAGATTAGTTCTCGACATTTCGCCAACACTAGGGGTTGGCATCTTCTGGAGATGTTACTGCTTCGCTTGTAAGCTGAAACTAACCGCCAGAGTGATCTTTTATCATTCTAGTCCCGATTTCGGGGCTAGAAGTTGGTAGTAAATGGCTAAAAACAAGAAAACGCGCTCAAAAACTTAAACTGCTATTTGCAGTGTTCACCCATTTATCACTCCTTCCACCCCTGGAAAGTGTAGTTGGTTCATAAAAAATGTAAAAATTTTGTTAATCATAGTATGATTAGTATGATTAGTTACTGTTTGCAGTGTTCCCTTTATCATCCCTTCTCTTATACCACTGAAGTGGGGTAAGTGGCTAAAATCCAGTAAATTTGCTGAAAAATATTGTTACGAGGTTTTTTGTATGCTGCAAACGATTCTTCTAACTATAGCTTCATTAAAAATCACCGTCTACTGGATTTCCTTTTATCATCCGTGGACTTAGGGGCCGGAACTTGGTGGTAAATGACTAAAAACAACAAAACTCGTTAAAAAACTTTGTAAAAATTCCTGTGTGTAATATTCTCCTTTATCACCTCTTCACGGTTACCACTGGATGGACGTGAGTGACCGTAACAGGACTGAGTGACTTAAAACCAGAAAATCAGCTAGAGAACTTTGTAAAAGGTCAATTTAATAAAATTATGTCAATTTGTAGTGTTTCTCATTAGTTCTTTAGTTCTGCCCTTTGGTAGGAGAAGGTGAGTGATTGTAATCCAGAAAATTAACTGAAAAACTTTGTAAAGTTTGTTCGTGAATGGTGATTAACTCGATAAAATTATTATGTAAATGGTTCTTAACTATCATATCTCTTCATGGGTTTAAAAAGAGGGATGAGTTGCTGAAAATAAAAAAAAATCGCTAGAAACACTGTATAAAGTGTTTTGTGGATGGTTAAAACGATTGTGTCAGCCATAACTTTATTATTAGTCACTACGTTTGCAGTTTTCATTTATCGCTCCCCTCACCATAGGTGGAAGTGGTAGAGTGATTAAAGAAAAAACTGCAAATAATATTTGTGATAATGATATTGTTGACAAAATCATTTTCGCAAAAACGAAAATTCTTTACAAAGCTTTTGAGCTAGTTTTCTTGCTTTTAGTCATTCACCCCAACTCTCAACTCCTAGTTGAGAGTTCAGGTGAAGTATCCGTAGTGTCAGTTTTCGTTGATAGAATCGCTTTCCAACCCACCGCGAATTTTCTGATTTTTAGCTTCTCATCCCATATTTCAACCCCTAATGTATTGCTTGATGGTATCCTGTCAAAATATTTCTTTAATCCTCATCCAATTTACTAAAATAAAAAAAAACAATCATACCGATATCATGAAAAAAGAAAACCAAAAGTCCTTTACTTACCCCTTATGTCAACTAACTGAACTTTTTTAAGACGACGGCCCTAGCGAAGCCAATTGAGTATTGACTAGTCATTCTTTGTGTTTTTGTGTTCACAAATCCACAATCAAGATCTACGTTAGTAGCCCGGTCAACGAAAACAAAATTTTGCCTAAACCAAAAAAAATCCAGAATGAAAATTTGGGAATTTATATAAAGTAATTTTGTTATTTATTTATTATTTATATTTTAAACAAATTATATTATAATATGTTTGTTCATAATGCCTCCTGCCAACGGATTTAAAAAGCATACATTGTTGTCTTCAGACAGAAGTGACAGACCTGCAAATTCAGACGAAGCATTAAATTAATAATAAAATATAAATAAATATAATTTGAAAGTAAAAATTATTATATAATATGTGTAAAAATAATAATTGTTTTTATATGAAATTATTTTAAAACTAAATGACATTTTCATTGTTTTTTTATTAATTTTCAACAAAGGTATTTTTCATTGAATTTTGAAGTGTACTTAAAAATAAACTCAAAAAATTTTTATCTTTTAACACAACACAAATTTTTACCCATAAGTAATATTATATAATTTTATATATAAATATTAAAAAACATTCTAGAATGTAAATTCTAGAATGTAAAATGAATTTGATGCTCTCAAAATTATACAAGGGTTGTCTTTTTAGTTTTGCATATAGCTATAAAGAGAAAAAATATATATCAAAATATTTGCCGGATAGTTTACATTTTGACGAAATGCCCCTGAAGATGCTATTTTAAGCGAAAGTACTTGGGCTTAATTTAATTAACTTGTGCTCGATAATAGCCTTATTTTCAAAAAAAGTATAATTGCCAGAATGATTTCCAATCTCCGATAGGAGTGGAACTTGAAGAAGAAGAAGAAGCCTCTATCCAAATTGAAGACAGTCCGACTGAAAAAATATCCATCAAACGTGGAGTACGGCAGGGTTGTGTTTTGTCACCCACTCTTTTTAATGTGTACTCTGAAGCTAAAGAAATCTTTAGGGAGGCTTTGGATGACAGACAAGACGGAGTAAGACTAGGTGGAGAAGTAATCAACAATATTAGATACGCTGACCATACAGAAATTCTTACAGAAAATTTACAAGATCTCTAAACATTACTAAATCTAGTCAGTGAAGCAAGTTTTCGGAGAGGCCTTAAAAGCAACGTTTCAAAGACAAAGTGGATGGCAGTTGGAAAGATCTATATAGATCAAGGTCTGATTTCTCTTAATGGAGAAGAGATCGAATGGGTAAATCACTTCAAATACCTTGGCAGCTGGTTAAATGTAAATTGTGACTCTGATGAAGAGATAATAACCAGGATTGAAATATCACGTAAGGCTTTTATGAGCTGGAAATCAGTTTTATGCAACAGAGCCTGTAGATGAATATTCGTAAGAAGGTCCTGAAATGCTGTGTGCGGTCCATTCTATTGTATGGGTGTGAGACGTGGACGTTAAAAACCACAATGCTTAACAAGTTAGAAGTATTCGAATTGTGGTGCTATAGACGAATCCTAAAGATATCATGGGTTTCGCACACTTCCAATGAAGATGTTCTTCAAATGATCAATTCAGATCTGCTCATAAACACCATAAAGAGAAGAAAAACAGAATACTTCGGTCACATAATTAGAGGTCCTAAATACCATCTACTTCGCCTTATAATACAAGGAATAGTGGAAGGAAAGAGAGGGATTGGTCGAAAGAAACTTTCATGGCTGCGTAATATTAGACAATGGTGTGGTTCCACAGTAGAAGTATTATTTCGCGCAGCAGCTGACAGAGAAAGGTTTCAGGAAATTGTAAACATGATGACGGCCAACGTCTGAATACGGACAGGGCACCCAAAGAAGAAGATGTAGGATGATTCACAGATGTGTGTTGCTTTGTCGAAGTTTCGCGATAATTCCTCGTAAATAAATGGATATATACTAATTAGTAGTAACTGTTCTTCGATCTTCTAAATTCATTGTTGCCACATGACCAGATTTTGGCACAAAAGTTGCGATCATTTTCTTTGACATACTTCGAAAACGGATCACTTTTGTTAGTTTTTTCTCATCGTGAAACACCCATAAAGCGGATTGACGTTTATTTTCCGGTTCGTAGGAGTAAATCCAAGATTCAGTGACACTAACAATACTATAAACGTTTTTGTTTCCTGAGTTTCCTTTGTTGAACCGTTTCAATGTTTTTCGACACCGAATGAACCGACTAGCGAACTTCTTTTTGCTCTTCTGTGATCAAATATGGGATCCAGCGGGAAAACAACTTATAACATCCAGTTCCTTATGTAAGATCAGTCATCCTCAATTAGCTGACGAACCGCATTAATGTTTTGCTGTGTGACTGCTGTTTTGGGTGGGTCTGGCCCGGATTCGTCGCTGAGACTGGAGCGACCACGTTGAAATTCGCAATACCAGCGGGAAATAGTTGACCCGTGTGATGCTTTATTCCCAAATACTAAAACTATTTCAGCGAGACATTGCTGTTGGGATAATTCTCTCCTAAAATTATAAAAAATTATTGCCCAAAAATGTTCTCGGCTAAGATCCATTATTTAACCGACTTGCTAATTTCAAAAATCCACTGTATCTACACGACTTGTTGTATCGCAATGGAACTCTTGATTTATGTCAACAAAAGATTGAAGTTACATTTGTGCCGGAAAGTTTTGCAAAACTAAAAAGACAAAGCTCGTATGTGTTTATCTTTAAACATACTTTTCTAATAAAATAATTTTTAATATACTACGAAAAATTTATTTATATTAATTATTATTCATATTCATGTCTTTTTCATAAATTTTTGTTATTGTCCGAAATTATTGATTAAAAAATTAGTTAATTTTAAAAATGTGTGCGCGCATCCAATGGGTAGCCCGAATAAGCAGTTGCAAAAAAGGCTATATGCAACAATAAAACACTGAAAACTTTGTTTTCAAACTTCCACAAAATTTATTTTATCCTCTTATCACTACAGCTGTTTCGGCTGATTGCCTTTCTCAAGTGATCTATTTTTGGCATGCGTTTACACTTTATAGTCTCTAATGAAATAGGTTGAGGAAGGGAGAACTGTTTGTCTCAAGTTGGTCATTCAGAATTATATCTATGTTTTTTAATTTGTTGATTGTCATAGATTCTAACAAGGATAGCTTAAGGCCTTTATTTTGAATGTGAAGAATTTTAAATTCTTCATTAAAAGAATGATTGTGATATGTTTTTCTGTTACTGAAAGCCCTTTTATGTTCTGCTATTCGTTTATTAAAGTTTCTACCAGTTTGACCGATGTAAGTTTTTGGGCAGTCGCCTCAATTAAGTTTGTACACACCACTGTGTAAGTGTGTTTTTTATTTTGGCTCTTGTTATTTTTGATATATTTGCCTAGGTTGTTATTTGTTCGGAAAGCTGGCGTTATTCCTTTCTTTTTTATGTGTTTGGCTATTTTTGTTGATAGTTTGCCTGTTTCTAAAGTTTTCTAAAATTGCTTTATATTTTTCATTATTTTTAAAAACTCCTTTTTGCAAAATGTTTACGAAACGACAGTAGTTTAGGAATTTAAACTTTATTTTATTTAATTAAAGACACAAAGTTTTGGTCTGTTATTTTTTTTGGTATTAATGTATTTTACAGTATTTTATTTTTTAGTTACTTTTTTCTATTTTTATCAATATTCTTTTTTTATTTTTTAGTTTTGATTGCTTTTTTAGACACATTTATTTATTCAGTTTTTATTTAAAACTGAACACACTATTTATTACAATTTCGATAAGATTTCTTGTGTTTCACTGAATTCTTTATGTCACGCTGTGTGCTTTTTACATTTATTCAACAATAATTGAGGTAACTTAACAATTTATTATTTATCCCCATTAAATATTTAAAAAGTAACCCTATAGTTTTTTTTCTTGAAAAGTATTGATCAAGAAATGCTATTAATTAATTAATAAAAACGAGCCAAATTCTTATCGCGGTAAAAGACATGTGTCATACTAAATTATGTATATTTATCATTCCAGAAATTAAATTTAATAAATGTAATATTAATGACTACCACTTTGTTCAGCGGTTTGTTCTTGACGATAAGATCTGGTAATTTTTGTCATCATTACCGAAACTAATTTAATTCCAGGGTCTTAGTCATGCAAAAGCGAAAGAAAATTTGGACAGGGACGGACCCAATGCCCTCACACCACCAAAAACAACTCCCGAATGGGTGAAATTCTGTAAAAATCTCTTCGGGGGTTTCGCTCTCTTACTTTGGATTGGTGCAATCCTTTGTTTTATCGCCTACTCCATACAGGCTAGTACTGTAGAAGAACCCGCAGATGATAATTTATATCTTGGCATCGTATTAGCTGCCGTTGTTATCGTTACAGGTGAGTATTATATACAAATTAATCGAAACAATTTTTTCTGCATGTTTCTATTGTTAATACTGCTACTCTACGTTTAAATCGTAATATAAATCAGTAACTATAATTTAAACTGTAATCTGTTTGAATTCCGTGAAACCGATCGTTAGAAACACTTGGTTTAAGCTGCTCTAACGACGTCTCTACACTTTGAAAGCTCCATTTGGTATTATCAATCATCTCGAATCTTCACACAAAGACACGTCGTTGTGTGTGATCGTTTTGTGGTCTGTGAAAGGCCGGGTTCTTGTGGGCGACGCGAAATCGACGATCTACCTATTATGAAATGATCATTTGATTTTGTAATTTCACACCCCTAAGAATAGCAACACGCTGAGCTGAATACTAATGAGTCTGATACTTGTTAGACTATACTAAGCCTTCGGGGACGTAGTAGTATCATTTGAGGACAGAGTTGTATTCTATTTTTAAATCCTCAAATTTATATTATTATTATTCTTCTTCTTCCTTCTTGTATGTAGGCTTTAAAGCCTGTTTCTTCTTCAATATTAGCCTCCTAAATTGTTGAAATTGTCGCACCAACTTTTTCTTGGTCTGCCAATATTTCTTTATCCATTTGATGACATCTCGTGCTCTTCGTAATATCATGCTTTGCCTTTCTACTAATGTGTTCATTCCACTCCTGTTTCCGTTCTGTCACCTATCCATTTATGTCTTCTATATTGCATGCCCTTATTTTTCGCTTCTTTCCCTATTCAACAGACTTTTCCCTGATATTCGTCGAAGTATTTTCATTTCTGTTGTTTCTAGTAGTCGTCTCGTTTTAGATGTGTCAAGTCTTGTCGCCGTCGTGTATGTTAATATAGGCCTAATTGCTGCTTTATAGATTCTTGTTTTTTAATTTTATCTTTGGTGTTTGTTCTTCCAGATTGTGTCATTAAAAGATCCCGCAGCTTTACTTGCTTTTAAGCTTTGTGGTCGTACTAGTTCAACATATCCGTAACTAGTTATATCTATTCTTGCTTCCTGCCTTATTATTTTCCCATCAATTTCGATTTTACATCGTAGTGGGTATTTAGTTATTGTCATACATTTGGTTTTTTTCTGATCATATTATCATATTGTATTTCTTGGCTGTTATTTTGAAGATGTGTGTTAATCTTTGGATTTCTTTGTTCCCCATTCTGTAACCATAACTTTTACGTACTGCTTGTATTATTTCGTCCATTATTATATTAAAGAGAAGTGGGCTTAACGAGTCACCCTGTCCGATTCCGCTTTGTACTGGTATACACTGTGTTAATTTCCCATTTATCTTTGCCTGTATTCGATTACGGAAGTAGATGTTTTCGATGGTTTGTATAATAATGATTGGTATGTTTCTTTTATATAGTAGGTGTAAGACGTCTTCGACTTTGATACGATCGAAAGCCTTTGTCAGGTCTATAAAACATAGATATACTGGTTTTATTGTACTCCATGGCCTTTTTTGTGATTTGTCTTTGTACAAATACGGCGTCTACGCAGAATCTTCCAGATCTGAATCTTTGTTGTTCATCTCATAAAGTTACTAGTTTATTGATTTTGTTGGTAGAACTTTTATGGTAAGCTTAAGTGCATTGTTCAGTAGATTTATACCTCTATAATTGGTGGAGTTTTCTTTATCTCCTTTCTTGAACATTTGTATCATTATGCTGTTTCTCCATGCGTCTGGTATCTCGCAGTATAATATTAGTGTTTGTATAAATTTTATCATCTCTAGGCTTATACTTTCTCCTCCGTGTTTTAAAAGCTTGTTGGTTATTCCGTCTGGTTCTGGCGACTTTCTTTCTGACTAAACTTCCTGAAAACTGATTTGTATTTCGTGTCTTAATTCAGGTACGTTATGTTGATTATTATTTTCCTTTCCTTTAAACAGTTCCGTCAGGTATCTTTCCCATTCGTTTGCTGGTGTGTTATTGTATTCCTTCAAATCTGCCATTTCTTTCCGTTGGTTTCTTATGAATCTCCACATCTGTTTTTGTGTACCGTGTAGAACTCGCTTTCCATCATTTTTGTAAACTGTTCCCGGCGTTCATTGTTTGTTCTTCTTACCAACTGCTTTGTTACATTTCGTATTCTTCTATAGGTGTCTCGGGATTCTGGAGTATTTGATGTTTTGTATTTCGTGTAGGCCTCTCGTTTCTCTTTACATTTCTCTTATATTTCTTTTCTGAACCATAGTGTATTGTTGTTTCTTTTGTTTAGTATGACTTTGCGTTTTTCTGGAGCTTCTGTTGTCGCTTTTTCAATGTTGTTTTTAATTTTCTCCCAGCTCGCATTTACATCTTCGATATCGTCTATTCATATACAGAGTGGCCCAAAAGTCTGGAAACGGCTAATTATCTCGTAAATTACTAGACATAATTATACAAAATTTGAGATACGCCTATTTTGGGATACGGAGATTCCATATTTGGTATTTGCAATGTTGTCAGATTTTCAGTTTCTCTTATATTACTAGTAACTTTGGTTTTTCAAATGCATCACCCTGTATATTCAGTCATTATTGGAATCTCCTATTAAATACGAGTTCAACCATATGTAACACTTATGATTTTATGTAGTCTGGAAGGTCTTAAATACATATACAGAAGTCTGGCAACGCCTAAATTGTTTCAATACATTTTTTAATAGTAACTATTTTTAAATACATTAAAACGTAACAATTGATAGTTTAGAATATTTTTTAACATAATAGTTACGTTATTAAGTGTTCAAAATGTGCTCCATTTGTGAGTTGACAGCACTCTAATCGATGGTAGAATGCGTCTACCACATTTCTCCATGATTGTCTAGAAATTATTGGAGATTTATCGACAATTCATTGCCTTAGCTATGCAAGACTTGCTGGGTAAGTTTTGTAAACTGAATTTTTCAAGTATCTCTAATAAAAATAATCTTTAGGATTGAGATCGGGTGAACGTGGAGGCCATTAAATTCTACCTTGTCTACCAATTTATCGTCCGGGAAATATCTCATCTAAATAACGCCGAACATTTACAGCAACTATCTGACGTTAAATTTCTTTCGATAAAAAATGGCCCAATTAAATAAGTACCTACTATAACTGACCATACATTTAATTTTTGTGGTCTTTGAGTATGGTTTTCACGCATTTAGTGTGAATTTCACACGAGTTCAGCTATTCAATACGAGTTCAACCATATGTTCACTTGATTTTATGTAGTCTGAAAGATCTTAAATACATAAAACAGTGCAAAATATGTAGATTTTAATAAATTTAAATATTTAAATGGAGAATGCTGTGATTTTGACATTCGTTCACCATTTAAATTATGAACTAAAATTGACAGTAGTTGTGGTTCAAAAAGTTCTGCATTTAAATTGCTTCTCTAAAATGCCGTTCTCCTATCCATAAGACGACTGTACAAAAAACTGTAAGGCGATTTGAGGAATCTGGAGAAGTAAAAGATAGATACCGATCAGGTTGGCCGAAACGAGTTATCAATGACAACAAAACTTCAGATATAAGCAAAGTTTTGTTGAAGATCCACATACATCCCCAGGCAGGGTTGCACAAGTACATGATGTAGGTCATTCTTCAGTCTTACGTTTATTACGTAAAAATAAATTTAAATCATACAAAATTAACTTATGGCAAGAATTAAGTGAAGATGACTTTGGTCGTAGATTAGAGTTTACTGAGGTAATGATGGATAAAATTGAAAATTATTAAAATTTCGTTAACAGAATATGTTTTTCCGATGAAGCAACTTTTACAGTGTGTGGAAGTGTAAATCGACACAATTTAAAGTACTGGTGTGACGTAAATTCACACTAAAGACTGAATACGTGAAAACCATACTCAAAGACCACAAAAATTAAATGTATGGTCAGATATAGTAGTTACTTATTCAATTGGGTCATTTTTTGTCGAAAGAAATTTAACGTCAGATAGTTGGTGTAAATGTTCAGCGATATTTAGATGAGATATTTCCTGGGCCATAAATTGGTAGACAAGGTAGAATTGAATGGCCTCCACGTTCACCCGATTTCAATCCTAAAGATTATTTTTATTAGGGATACTTGAAAAATTCAGTTTACAAAACTTAACCAGCAAGTCTTGGAGAGCTAAGGCAACGAATTATCAATGAATCTCGAATAATTTCTAGACAATCATGGAAAAATGTGGTAGACGTCTTCTACCATCGATTAGAGTGCTGTCAACTCACAAATTGAGCACATTTTGAACACTTAATAACGTAACTACTATGTTAAAAAATGTTTTAAACTATCAATTGTTACGTTTTAATGTATTTAAAAATAGTTAGTATTAAAAAATTTGTTGAAACAATTTAGGCATTGCCAGACTTCGGTTTTATGTATTTATGACCTTCCAGATTACATAAAATCATAAGTGTTATATATGGTTAAACTCGTATTGAATAGGAGATTCCAATAATGACTGAAAATACAGGGTGATGTATTTGAAAAATCAAAGTTACTAATAATATAAGAAAAACGGCAAATTTGGCAACATTGTAAATATCAAATATGGAATCTCCGTATCCCAAAATAGGTGTACCTCAAATTTTGTACAATTATGATTAGCATTTTACGAGATAATTAGCCGTTTCCAGACTTTTGGGCCACTCTGTATATGTTGTATATTATATTCTATCATATATATGTTGTACATTTGAACATAACTGATTAATTCAATTTTTTAGGTATATTTTCTTATTATCAAGAAAGCAAAAGTTCAAAAATTATGGAATCTTTCAAGAATATGGTGCCCCAATTCGCTACCGTTCTTAGGGAAGGAGAAAAATTGACATTACGAGCCGAAGACTTGGTACTTGGAGACGTCGTCGAAGTGAAATTTGGTGACCGAATTCCCGCCGACATCAGAATAATCGAATCAAGAGGTTTCAAAGTAGATAACTCATCTCTCACCGGAGAATCTGAACCTCAAAGTAGAAGCCCCGATTTCACACACGAAAATCCCCTGGAAACAAAGAATCTTGCGTTCTTCTCTACCAATGCCGTCGAAGGTACTGCCAAAGGAGTTGTTATTAGTTGTGGAGACAATACTGTGATGGGTCGTATCGCTGGTCTTGCTTCTGGCTTAGATACTGGTGAAACGCCCATTGCAAAGGAAATTCATCATTTTATTCATCTTATCACCGGTGTAGCTGTTTTCCTAGGAGTCACATTCTTCGTTATCGCGTTTATTCTCGGTTATCATTGGTTGGATGCTGTGATCTTCCTTATTGGTATCATTGTAGCTAATGTACCCGAAGGTCTATTGGCCACTGTAACTGTATGTTTAACTCTCACTGCCAAGAGAATGGCATCTAAAAACTGTCTGGTCAAGAACTTGGAAGCAGTAGAAACTTTGGGATCCACAAGCACAATTTGCTCAGATAAGACTGGTACCCTGACTCAAAACCGAATGACTGTCGCTCACATGTGGTTCGATAATCAAATTATTGAAGCCGATACAACTGAAGATCAATCTGGTGTGCAGTACGATAGAACTAGTCCTGGATTTAAAGCCCTCTCCCGAATCGCCACTCTCTGTAACCGAGCTGAATTCAAACCAGGTCAAGATGGTGTTCCAATTCTTAAAAGAGAAGTCAACGGAGATGCATCTGAAGCTGCTCTTCTTAAATGTATGGAACTTGCTCTTGGAGACGTTATGTCCATCAGGCGCAAAAACAAGAAAGTCTGCGAAATTCCATTTAACTCAACCAACAAATATCAAGTATCTTGCCATGAAAATGAAGATCCTAACGACCCACGTCACATTTTAGTAATGAAGGGAGCTCCAGAAAGAATCTTGGAGAGATGCAGTACTATCTTCATTTGCGGTAAAGAAAAAGTATTAGACGAAGAAATGAAAGAAGCATTTAATAACGCATATTTGGAATTGGGAGGTCTAGGAGAACGTGTACTTGGTTTCTGCGACTCAATGTTACCATCTGATAAATACCCTATTGGTTACAAATTCAATTCCGATGACGCTAACTTCCCTCTCGATGGCCTTCGGTTTGTAGGCCTTATGTCTATGATTGACCCTCCCAGAGCTGCCGTACCCGACGCTGTTGCCAAATGCAGAAGTGCTGGTATCAAAGTCATCATGGTGACTGGTGATCATCCGATTACAGCCAAAGCTATCGCCAAATCCGTCGGTATTATCTCTGAAGGTAACGAGACTGTCGAAGATATCGCTCAACGTTTGAACATTCCAGTATCAGAAGTCAATCCAAGAGAAGCTAAAGCTGCTGTTGTACACGGATCCGACCTTAGGGATTTGTCTTCTGACCAATTGGACGAAATTCTTAGGTACCACACTGAAATTGTATTCGCCCGAACATCGCCACAACAGAAGCTCATCATTGTAGAGGGATGTCAACGCATGGGTGCTATTGTAGCTGTCACGGGTAAGTTCATTATCATAATCATTACTACGTTATTTTAGTTACAATTTTTAATAAAAGTGAGACTCTGAACGGTTTTAGTCGTTGTGATTTTTTAGCCATTTAAGTAATTCGTTCCCACCTCTATTTTTAACAGTTTGTTTAGGGGGAATGTCACAAATACAGTAATGAGTGTGATAAGGTGGTATGTCACAAGGTTAAAATTTATATACATTTTAGGTACAGTTATCGTCACTATTTCAAAACCAATCTTCAACTTATGACTATGTACGTAAACTGTAAACTTTCTATTTTAATGATATCTAGTTAAAATTTCCAAAGAAAGTAGTTAATTTTTCATTACTGTACTTAAATGATTCCATGTCATAACTTACGTGGTAACGTGCCTAAAAATTGGTATGGTGTAATAATTTTTGAACTTACGTAGTTAAATGATTAACTATTCAAAAACATCTATTTTAAACAAATGTCGGCTTATCCATACTGCTGTAATTTTTAAATTAACTGTACCTAAAGATAAAATTACAATTAAAAGCTGCAAACTAGAGATTTTGTTGCTATTATCGTAATAAGGTGGCATTTTGATAGTGAGAAATTAGTTCGGCCATCACTTAATAGATTGCCTTTGATTGATTGAATGGATTGACAGATGTGCCTTTGCCGAATTTAAGAAAAATCTGCAAAACATTGAAAACTAATTTTGTGGTTATGCCAGAGATGGACCTGGCAAAGAGAAATGCGAATGGTTGGAACAACAGCAACAAACAAAATAAAATAATTTTAGAAACGTGGAATGTAATAGGCACTTATAAGATTGGAAAAATTAAAGAACTGGTAAGAGAAATGAAGAAAAATAGAATTGATATAGCATTACAAGAAAGAAAACAAAATAGAGACAGAAATAGTGGAGATAGAAAATATGGTATTTTTTAAAAGTGGAGCCAATAACAAAATATTAGGAACAGGCTTCATGGTACCAAATAATGGAGGAAAAGAATAACTTCATTCCAACGAATATCTGCTAAACTGTGTACTATTAGAATTAAAAGAAGTTGAAATATAGTCATATTAGGCAAATATCCTGACCAAACTAGTACTATTGTGTAAAAGCTGTACTTAGGTACTCCGTTTTTGAGTAGAAACAATGTTTTAAAAAGTGTGATTTGATTTTAAGCCTAAACGATAATAAGTGAAGACTTTTTACTTCATCTGGCAAAAAGTTATACAAACCAATATCAGTCCAAATGTTTATGCTCTTTGTCAACCTAAAACGTTGTGCTCTAATAGCATCTCTAGATCTTGTATCGTGATCATGAAAGATGGAGTTTATGTTAAACTTACGTTTGTTGGCATGAATTTTAAGGTCGATTTATACATATCCGTGCCGTGTCTGTTCCGTATTATGACAGTGCCTGGCAAAAAAATAACAATAATGTACGCTTATGAGTGTATTTATACATTGGCGTTTCCCGGACGGGTCAGTCCGTGCTCGGCCTGAAATTAATTCCAAACGATATTTTTGTTTTCGGCACTGGCGATGCACGGAAATGGCACGGACCGCACGGACTTCTATAAACACGATTTTAGTATTTTGTGAACGCAAGTGCTGGTACACAAACAAGCAGGAGATGTTGTGCGGTTAGTATGTTATGGTTTTTTATGTACTTACTAAAGAAAAAAAAGAAAAGAAATGGTACTGAGACATTCTAGAATATACGTGAAATTTTGTTTCATCGTCCAATAATTTTCTGTATTTTAAATTCTCCTTCGGCCTGTCTTTTTTCCACATAGGATGCATACTCCATCTTCTTTGTTTTCGCGTTTTTTGCTCCTGCTATTCCTTTTCATCAAATAATAATGATCTTCTATCCAAGCCGCCATATTTTCAACTCTCGTTTTCACATAATTATGTAATAACATTTCCCTCTCCTATTCGGCCCGGTACACACACTGCTACAACGCCGTTAAATGTAAATATAACATTAAAAATTCCCGGACTCGGCACCGTCACGGAACGGACACGGCACGGATATGTATAAATCGACCTTACATCAGCGTCTCATATACCTATATAGAGTGAAGTTAGTAGCATAATACCTAAATTCAGAAATAAATGTTAACAGTGTCCCCTATAATCTGCTCTTGCGAGTATCCTCACTACTCTGTTTTGTGGTTTAAAAATTCGATCTGCGTGGCAAGAATTACCCCAAACAGTTATTCCGTACTATAAATGGCTATGGAATAGTGCAAAGTAGCACATTCTAAGGGTACTTTTAGGAATCATATCAACAAAGTTGCGTATTAAAAATATATTTGTAGCAATTCTAGAACTCAAATAATCTGTATGAGCACTCCGATCGAAAATTATTATCTAGAAAGATTCCTAGTAGTGTAACTAATACCTTAAAAAACACATTTTGTAGGAAAAGTATAGTGGAATAAATCATTCAGATAAATTAGAAACAACGTGGATCCTAATATCGAACCTTGAGGAACCCCATATTCCACAGTGTTAAACTCAGAATGGCTGTTATTAAGAAAAACTGCATGTTTTCTATTTGTTAAGTATGATCTAAATAGATTAAGAGTATTTCACCTAATACCGTATTTATGCATTTTTTCTAACAGTAATTCATGCGAAACACAGTTACAAGCTTTGGATAAGTCACACAATGTCAAAGACACCAAACGACCTTCCTCCAAGCCATTAACTATATCTCTGACAATTTTCTGTATATCTAGTATAGTGCTACACTTTTTTCTACAGCCATATTGATTACAGTTAAGAATTTTGTATTTTTCTAGATATTCTATTAAACGAATATTTTGAATACTCTCAAACATTTTGCGGAAAATGGGAATAATTGAGATGGGACGATAATTTCCAAGTTCATCTAAAGCTCCATTTTTGAACACTGGTAGAACTTTTGTTACTTTTAATATATCTGGGAAAATCGTTTCAGTAATACAATTACCTATTATAAAGTATAATTAATTTGTCAATATTATATCGTTTGTTTCCACAATTATTTTTTTGTTTGAGAAATAAAACTCCGTGCAGTGTGAATTTTTTAATCTATGCAAAACATTCCTGATTTCAGTATCACTAAAAGCTAATACGCAGAATAAATAACGATCCAGAAGTTATCCTGAATATAAAAAAGAGAAAACTTGAATACTTAGGCCACCTGAGGAGAGGACAAAACTACACATTCCTACAAAATATAATGCAGGGAAAAATCCAAGGACGCAGAAATTCAGGCCGTAGAAGAATGTCTCATATGAGAAATTTAAGAGAGTGTTTTGGCTGTACCACTAACGAATTATTAAAAACAGCAGTAAATAAAATTAGAATCGCCATAATGACATCCAATCTCCGATAGGAGAGGCACTTAGAAGAAAAAGAAGAAAAGGTTATAAAAATAAAAAGTCGCAAGGAGAGTACCCTTCTGAATACGGAACAGGCAAAACCTAATTCATGTAGTGAATGAGAACAATTACAAACAAAGTGTATATTATATTTCTTAATGTTGGGATAAAAATTCGGCAAATGTCGATAGATTCATTGATGAATTATAATACAACAATTAAGTAAATGGTCAACAACAGGTATTACATGATAAATCGTAAACACTCCTTTAATTTAACCTAATCGCGGGATGTCCAACCTATTTTAAAGGCCACTTTACAGTTACGACAACTAAGTAATTGTATAATAGGCCAACGGGATGTGACGCGTGTAGATATGGTCCCTTCAACTGTTTCAAGGCTATTATCTGTCGGTGTCAGAAGTAATACTATTAATTTATATTATGCCACATGCTTCAATCGCTTTGATTTCATTGTGATGTATATATTGGTGAATGCCAAATAAATGGTTAATTGGTTAAACTAGTGGAATGTTTTATTTCTGGTATACGAGGGGAAGGTAAAAAGTTCTAGTCATGAAAAATTGGTTTATTATTTAGAAAATATTATTTTCCAATAGTGCTATAATTTTCTACCAGTCTTTCATTGTATTTTCTTATGTCTTCCTTAATACTTTTCTTTATTGTCTTACAGAGTTCTGTATATTGTATTCTATATATGTTGCTACTTACTTTGATTTAGCATTATTTCAGTTTTATCATTCATTTTATTGTTGCGGGGCTCCAATTTCTTTGGCGCTATCAAGGATGATTTCCATTAATCGAGAGCTGTCCATTTGATCATGTGATCTTTCATCAATTGTCCTTTGGTAGTGATCTGAGTTTTCTTTTAGATTGTTAATATTTTTAACGCTTACTCTTTTTTAGGTTATGTTAGTACTCTTGGCAAAGAATATATACGCATATAGAAGGATCTTTCACTGTTATTTTTTAGCGTCGGTAAAGGTTGAACACAAAACAATAGAAGTTAATCATGATTTTAGTTCCTTATTTGTGCCACTAGGGAGCGGTCATGTCAGCGTTATTACTGCTTATAGAATAAGAAAGAGTGGGGCAACAAATGCAACTTTAGATATTTTTATATGTAGAGTACCATTAAATTTTTGCGTTACATAAATTTTTTTAAAGAAAATAATATTATTTTAACTTTAAATAAATGAATCTTTTGATAAATGAAAAGCAAAAATATTATGATTCAAATTTTTAATTGAAATTAGTACAAATCTACAAAAAAAAAAATAAGTAAAACTCTCTTCCTATAAACTATGAATAAAATTAATTAAAAGTCAGTCACCGGGAGAGAAAGCTGAAAAAATTGTAAGGATCAAAAAACAATCCATGATCTTGTTAGTACGCTAGAATTGCTTTTTAGCACATACACCAAAGAATTATTTTTTACAATTTGAAAATTCGAAATTGTGAATTTACCTTAAAAAAAGGTAACTATTTAACATCTTCTTCATGAATGTGTGGTACTCATAATGTAAAAATTTTTAGATGAACTGATGATGCTATCAGAATTCGATAGCGAAACGTCTTCAAAATAGATGAAGTAGTATCAACTTTGTCTTTTATTTCTCCACCTAGTTGACCGATAATTGAACCCACCACTCGTCTGAGTGATCCTTATTTATATTGGATAGACGGTCGTACTCCTTTTTGCGATGTATATATATATATATTATATATATATATATATATATATATATATATTATATATATATATATACGCTGGATTAATTAATAACGACTCATTACAATTTGAACTTACACTATGCTGACTTTTTCAGGTGATGGCGTCAACGATTCTCCGGCTCTGAAGAAAGCCGACATCGGAGTTGCTATGGGTATCGCAGGATCGGACGTGTCCAAACAAGCCGCAGACATGATTCTACTCGACGACAACTTCGCGTCTATCGTAACGGGTGTCGAGGAAGGACGACTTATCTTCGATAACCTTAAAAAATCCATTGCTTACACTTTGACATCGAACATTCCCGAGATTTCGCCTTTCCTCGCATTTATCCTCTGTGACATTCCTTTACCTCTGGGTACCGTTACCATTCTGTGCATCGATCTTGGAACTGACATGGTAAGCATCGCTTTTTTTTTCTTTTTTTACTTTGAAACAATTGTTAGTGTTACAAAAAATAATCATAATAAGGCTGATATAAATTTAAAAAAGTCTTTAGTTAAAAAATTCATACAGTATGGTAAAAATGGAGTCTCGTTTACAAATATTTCATTAGTGAGATAATGCCCTACAAGGTGTAACTGAAACTATGCTCAAAGCATTAAAAATATATCAAGTTTTGCTTAATATTCGAGAGAATATAAGAAACTTCCAGAAACTTATCAACAAATGCGTATTTGAATAAACCGTATTACAAAAAGTTGTCAGTGATTTTCTACTTTTCATGCCTTTGAAAGAGGCCAATATCATTTGACATCGAGTTTGACAACAGAAAAATCTTCTAATGTAAGAAAGGTGTATTAAGGAGAGCAATATAAGTTAAATAAAAAACATACAAGGAAATGTGACTTAATTAATTAAAATAATAATGAAAATATCCAAAAGGATTACAAATTTTTCAAAACGTTTTCATTTGTTATCCTATTATCAGTGATACTTAAATAAGTAATTCGACTTTCATTTAATGCAAAGACCAAAGGCCAACATTTGCAAAAATCCAGTTACATAACAGTGTAGTGGCTTTTAGTTTAGTTAAGTGGATTTTTGCAAATGTTTATATAAGTAATACTACCACTATTAACAGTCAAAATTTTACCCTTTTAGATTAAATTAAGGTGGATTTACTTAATTTTAGATATCACTGATGATGGTCTGATAAAACTAAAAACGTTTTGAAAATTTTGTAATCTTTTTGGATATTTTCATTAATAACGTATTTACCAATTAGACAAGAACGTTTATACCTATTTGTAAGTTTTTTATAACTGATATACAGCCGACCACTGATAATTTTCGTTTTAATTCGATGCTGCAATAATACGGTTAGATGTATCTGTCCTGTTTTTATTACGTCTGATGTTAATTTTTCATTTTTGGGACCCCTTTCATGAGCTACTACAGATACCACTACGTCTACGACTACATTTTCCATTCGACCAATCAAATAAGCCTTTTTCGTTACAACTGTATAGACGGGTTTGAGAATTCAAATGAGAGGATTAACCCAACAGTAATGTCTCGCTGAAATGGATTTGTGTTTTGGAATGAAGCATAAACACAGATTTATCCAAAACAGCAGTCACGGAGCAAAACATTGATGAGGTTCATCAGCTAATTAAGGATGACTGATGTGTAACATACCGGAAGATAGAATAATCTTTGGGCATTTCAAAGACGTCGATCCAAAAGATCCTACATGAAGAACTGGGTGTTAATAAGTTGGTTTATCATTTGCTCATGGAGGAGCAAAAAGCGGTTCGCGTCAGTTGGTGTTGAAAAACATTAGAACGGTTCAACAAAAGGAGCTCAAAAAACGTTTATAGTATTGTTAGAGGCGATGAGTCGTGAATTTTCTTCTACAAACCGGAAAATAAACGCCAATCCACTGTGTGGGTGTTTCACGATAAGGAAAAACCAACAAAAGTGATCCGATTTTTAAGTATGTCAAAGAAAATGGTTGCTAGTTTACTTCTGAACGGAAGTGGAAGAACAGATACTTTTAAGTGGTATATAACCGCTTGTTTACCAGAAGTCATCACGAAACTCAGACAGAACACCGTATAGCCCCTACCTAAGTTCCAACGACTTCTTCACGTTAAAAAAGATCAAAAATCAATGCGTCTTTAAAACAGCAATTTTGCAGGTATGAACTGAAGACTGGAAAAACCCTTTTTGCCAATTGCTTTGAACGCTTGCAAAAGTGTATCGATCTTGTTGGGGCATAGCTATATATTTTTTGTCTTTATGGCTAGATGCAAAACTAAAAAGACAACTATCGTATATGCATCATTTAGTCTTTAAAAGTTGCAATTACTGGGTTTACAATTGTTACCTCATCAGTCATACGTATTTTATGAATTTACATAAGCAACTCTTTCATCATTTTCAAAAATATTTGTTTGTTTTCATTAATTTATAATAGTGTACCTTAGAGCATAAAATCAAAACATTAAACAAAAGAATATATATTATGAAGCTCATACTACTTGATTCAAATACCTAACCTAACCTAACATAACCTATTTGTCAAGCTTAAAGATTTGCTTAATTTTTATTGAAAGAAATTGACTTGAAGAATCATGAAACGAACATTTTAAATTACTTTTTGTAACACGTAACTTATATATTGACCCCCTTTTGCCCCCCAAAAAATGTACAATGAAAAGGCATCAGATGAAAACAGATTGATTTGATTTTTTTAAATGAAAGGTGCCGGCCATTTCATTGGCTTACGAAAAAGCCGAGTCCGACATTATGAAACGTCGTCCTCGTAATCCATGGGCGGATAAGTTAGTAAACGAAAGGTACAGATGATAATAAACCAAAGAATATATATCTATCAAAAGTTATCAACAGCATGTAGAAGTTGGGAAAACATTTTTTAAAGTTAAATTTGCACTGACTTTGAATCGATTATATTTTGAACACTTAAGATCTCGTAGAGTAGTAAGAGGAATATGCATTTCAGACATACGATAACACAGTCTGGGGTTTGTTTAAAATAAGTCAATATGCAGCAATTTATAGTTTAAAATTTTCTTAAATATTCACTAATTTTTATTGAATTAAATTTTTATTGAAGGACTGTAAATGCGTGGTTTAAATAAATTGACGATGTAGCTTTTTGGTCCGATTTTTCTATTATAATTACTTCAATATTACTTTTTTTATGAATTAATCTCGATCATCACCTTATCTCTACATATTTACATATCCTCCAACTCTCCTCCTTCTCCTCTATCCTTTATCCTTCGTAAGGATGTGGTGACGTTATGGTATTTGACGAATGGTTGCTATCCATTCTTCTCTCTCCTGGGTGCGGTATGCTGCCTCAGACAGAGAGTAACCGGTAGCGCACTTTATTTGGTCTGACCATCGGAGTGGCGATCTTCCTAGAGTTCTTTTACCATCTACCTTGCCTTCAATCACCAACCTCCATGCCTTCCATTCGTCGGTAATGTGTCCAAAGTACCTCAGTATATTTGGTGATGATGTGGTAGCCTAGTATTGTGTCGAGTTCTGTCAATATTGAGACATTGTGCATGTGCTGTCCAAGTATGCGCATTGTAACGCCACGGAGTAATGGAGTAACATTTGTCATCCTCTATACACCTCCACGTCCTCAGTATATTTGGTTGATGATTGTGGTAAGCCTAGTATTTATGTCGAGTTCTGTCAATATTGAGACATTTGTGCGATGTGCTGTCCAAGGTATGCGCATTGTAACGCCACGGAGTAATGGAGTAACATTTGTCATCCTCTATACACCTCCACCGCATCAAATTTGACCTACTGGTTCTGAACCTATTTCGGGAACTCCATAGGGTGTAAGGTAAGTGCAGCCAGCTCTTTAGGATCTAGGGCATCAACGGACAACGTTTTCCTCCAAAACTAAAAAGCGTCTTGTTCCAATGTAGCTCGGTAGGTCACTGTTACTGCTTTAAGGGTTTACATTAAATAAATTGGCGCTATAAGGTATCTAACAGTTAAAAGGTTGTTATAAGCATTACTTTCTTGGTTTACATCTCGCTGCAACTCCAGCTTTCCTTGCCTGCCATGCTTTTCCATTTCGTAAAAGCTGGTGTGCAATTTGGTGTACTTTAATATTTTTTATGTAAGGCGACTATTTGCCGTGACTAGTTCTTCCAGCAAGTTGTTCCATCTTTCGATTCTGGAAGATATTTTAAATTCTTCAGCAAGCTCAATTATTGCATTGGGTTACAATGGGTTTCTGACACTATCAAGACTTGCTACATATTCTATTCGGAAAATTTTCTGGTGTTGGCTTCAGTTTAACTTTGACCACAGTCTGAATTGTTGTACAAATTTTTAGTGGGTCCGGAGCGAGGTGTCTTATTTCGGATCCAGTACACCTAGTTACAATTAATCCCAACAGCTCCGAATATTCCAATAAAAATTTGGATCAGGGCACACGTGAGATATAAGGAACACTTCCGATTCTTTTTTTTTTTTCAATCTTAGCAACTTCTTTTTATAGAATATAGTTTCCGTCTTCTATAACCTTCTTTATATATCACATAATACTTATTTAGAGTCAGGCATTTAATACATGTATTTATAGCGCGAATTGAAATTTCGTTTTTAAAATATTGTCCAATAAAATCAATACGTTTTCGCATAGTTGTTAACTTTTTTCTTCTCCGAATGAGATAATCTACTTAAGTATTCCTTAATTTTACAGTACACATCTTAGACTATTTCTCACAACAGTTGATTTGGAGCGACCTTTACCAAATTCGTGTTGGAACTGTTTACGACGAATAAACCCTGAAAATCAACGAAATAAGTAAATCGGGAAGTTGCTTCCTTCACTAACTGTATAATCTTGTTGATCGATTCAGTATATTTATTCACGTGAAACATTTTCAAAAATTATCGCACACCATCGTTAATGATTTAATTTTATCATTACGTGTTTTTTTTGGCGAAATAATAAAGAATTTTTATTGAAAGATGCCAAATTCATTCTTTACGATGTTGACATTAGTATTGATATTTCTGCATATCTCAGAACATACTTCTTTTCGACTTAACGAGTATCTGCCGAATTCCTGTTGACTCTATGTCTGATTTGTCATAGTTTTTGGAATAGGTACCTTTTTGAAACTTCTATATTTAATTTTTCTTTTTGTGACTGTTCTACTGTCTGTTTTTTGTTTATATTGTGTTGATTACTGATTAAGGACTCTATAGATCCTTCTGTCTGACACCAATAAACTGTCTTGAAACTTGGCTTACAGTTCGACGTGACGGTTTTGAATTTATTTTTTTCAAACAGCGGTGCTTTCTTCGCTAGGGATTGAATATGGACACGCAAGTAATAACCAAAAGTCTTATTATTTAACAGAGTAGCCGTTCTTTTAGATATAATCACTTTA